CTCTTTGTCCTTTGCTCTTGGCATTTTAATTATGATGTGTCTTGGGGTGGTCCTCTTTGGATTCCTTTTGGTTGGGGTTCTCTGTGCTTCCTGGACTTGCAAGTCAATTTCTTTCACCAGGTGGGGGAAGTTTTCTGTCATTATTTCTTCAAATAGGTTTTCAATATCTTGCCCTCTCTCTTCTTCTGGTACCCCTATAATTCTGATGTTGGTACGCTTGAAGTTGTCCCAGAGGCCCCTTACACTATCTTCATACTTTTGGAATTTCTTTTGTTTTTTTTTCTTTTTCGGTTGGGTATGTTCTGTTTCTTTGTATTTATCTTGTTTCTTGGGATCCTCTTGTCTTCTGTTGGATCTCTGTAAATTATTCTTTATTTCAGTCAGTGTATGTTTAATTTCTAGTTGGTCCTTTTTCATGTCCTTCATGGTCTCATTATACTTAATGAGAGACTCATTAAATTTATCGGCGGGTTCCACAAAATTCTTGAAAAACCTTATAAACGTGGCCTTGAATTCTATATCCAATCGTTTGCTTTCCTCTATTTCTGCCAATCGTGACCTGTTTCTCTGTCTCCGCATTTTGGCTGCTTCCCTGTGTTGATAGAGAGGCTTTGTGTGCTAGGTGTCCTGTAGGGCCCAGTGGCTCAGCCTCCCCAGTTGCCTGAGGTGGACACTCTTGGGGCACCCCCTTGTGGGCTTTGTGCACCGTCTTGATGTAGCTATGGCTTGTTTGCTGTAGAATCACTGGGAGGAATTGCCCTCCCAGCCAATTGTCAGTGAGAATCAGCTGTGTCTGCAGTGGGGGAGCTTCTGGGCTGGATCCCTAGGGCGGTGCTCGTCTAGCAATTGCCTGCGCTATCCAGCAGATGGCGCTGCCGCGCAGGATTTGGGCGGAGCGGGTCCCTGGGGATCTGCAGGGAGGGAGCAGTTATGCTGCGACTCCCTCCCGATTGTTTGCGCCGCTCCCTCCGCGCCGCCGTCCGCGCCGCCTCCAGCCCCGCTCCGCGCGCCCTCGTTACCTCGGAATTTCACTTCAGCACTGCGCCGCCTCTGAGTCTCGGTATAATATTCTCTTTACTCCTAGTTGTAGAATTTCCACTCAGCCAGCCCTCCTGTGGCTCTGGACGTTGTCCTTTCCCTGGATCAAGCTTAATTTGACTTGGTTGTTCCAGGCGGCTATCTCTGGTGTTAACCTATGCCGCCATCTTCGGTTCTCCTAGCTCTTGCTTTTCTGCTAAAATAAAGTTCTTTGGTTTTTAATATATTTTTATTGACTTCAGAGAGGAAGGGAGAGAGAGAAATATAAGTGATGAGAATCATTGATCAGCTGCCTCTTGCACACCCTCTACTGGGGATGGAGCCCAGTGACTGGGAATCTAACTGACCTCCTGGTTCATAGGTCGATGCTCAACCACTGAACCAAGAAGGCCAGGCCATGGACACAGACAATAATGTGGTGAAAGCTGAGAGTGGGACTGGTGGTGAGTGGGGTAGAAGGGATCAATGGGAAAAAAGGAGGGGCATATGTAATACTTCAACAATAAAGATTTAAAAAACACAAATGAGTGTAGAAGAGGAAATAATTGCCTAGTATTGCAAATCTCAAACTGCCCTCTATACAATGACTGCAACTATCACAATCTCCTTCTAAAATGGTAAAATAATATTAAATCGCTAATTTAATTATTTTATGAAATGTTAAAGTAAAAGTATATCAAATAAAAAATATAAAGATAAAAATAATGTTATTAATCGCACAGAGTATGTGTAAGAACCAAAGGACTCAAAGTCCATTCGATACTGTCTTTTATTGTTGACACTATTACAAAAGTCCCTTATTTCCTCCCCCTTTTGCCCACCTCTTCTCAGCCCCAGCCACCCTTCCCCTGGCCATCACACTCTGTTGCCTGTGTCTATGGATTACATATATATGCTCTTTGGCTACATATATATCCTCTTTTGGATATATGGATTACATATATATCCTCTTTTATACAGTCCTTCCCAATCTCATCCCATCTGACCTCTATCAGTCTGTTCTTTGTATCTATGCCTCTGGTTCTATTTTGTTTATCATTTTACTAGAGGCCCAGTGCATGAAATTTGTGCACTGGGGAGGGGTGGGGGCGGTGTCCCTCAGCCCAGCCTGCACCCTCTCCAATCTGGAACCCCTTGGGGGTTGTCTGACTGTCAGTTTAGGCCTGATAGGCCAAATCCCACAGGCAGTCAGACATCCCTCTCACAATCTGGGACTGCTGGCTCCTAACCACTTGCCTGCCTGCCTGATTACCCCTAACCATTTCTGCCTGCCAGCCTGATCACCCCAAACCACTCCCCTGCCAGCCTGATTGACACCTAACTGCTCCCCTGCAGGCTCGATCGCCCCCAACTGCCCTCCCCTGCAGACCTGGTTCCCCCCCCACTGACCTCCTCTGCTGGCTTAGTCCCCCCAACTGCCCTCCTCTGCTGGCCATCTTGTGATGATGTGGGGACAGCCATCTTGTGACAATGTGGGGGTGACCATCTTGTGGTGGCCATCTTGTGACAATGGGGGGCAGCCATCTTGTGATGACATGGGGGTGGCCATCTTTGCAGCAGCCATTTGTGACAACGTGGGGGTGGCCATCTTGTGATGACATGGGGGTGGCCATCTTGTGATGCAAGGGCGTGAGGGTCAATTTGCATATTACCTCTTTATTATATAGGATTTTGTTCATTAGATTCCACATATAAGTGAGATCATATGATATTTGTCTTTCTCTGACTGGCTTATTGTGTTTAGCATAATAATATCCATGGTGTTGCAATTGGTAAGAGTTCCTTCTTTCATACAGCTGCATAGTGTTCCATTGTGTAGGTGTACCGCAGCTTTTTTGTCTACTCCTTTGCTGATGGGCACTTGAGCTGTTTCAAGCTCTTGGCTATTGTATGCAGCTATGAACATAGGGGTGTATATATTCTTTCTGATTTGTGTTTGGGGATTCTTAGGACATACTCCCAGAATATATTGCTGGGTCAAAAGGCAGTTCCATTTTTAATTTTTTGAGGAAATTCCATACCATGTTTCACAGTGGCTGCACTAGTTTGCATTCCCACAAACAGTGTACTAGGGTTCCCTTTTCTCCACATCCTCGCCAGCACATGTTGATTTATTGATAGTAGCCATTCTGGCAGGTGTGAGGTGACCTCATTGTAGTTTTAATTTTAATTTTCATCTCTCTGGTGATTAGTATGTTGAACATTTTTTCATATGTTTATTGGCCATCTGTACGTTTTTTCCTTATTTGTTGTTCCACATTATGTATGCCTTCATTAATTCTAATATGTGCCCTGACTGGGACTCAAACTTGCAACCTTGGCATATTGGGACAATGCTCTAACCAACTAATCTACCTAGCCAGGACTATTCTGTCCTGAATAATCATTGAGACCATTGGCTCAGTCCCAGCAGAATGCAGAGATGAATGAAGTTGCAGGCATGGCTTTATCCAGAACTCTGATGATGTAACCAGGACCTGCATGGGTTTTCTTTCTCTATTTATTTCATCTCTGTTTTCTTAGATTAGGTTCTATTCTCAAGGAAGCTCTCCCCTCCTAGAGGCACTAAGTCTGAGAGTGTCTACAAATCCCAGAAATGAATGGGGCTCCTGACTGAATTTCAGTTTCCTCATCTGTGAAATGAGGGTTGGGACCTGACCACGCCTACATCTATAATCCCTTTTCTTCTTCTTCTTTTATATACAGAGGGAACCAAAACAGGAAAAAGCTTTCATTAGTGCTTAGAAATGACTGCTCTTTCCAAAAAGGAAGTCAGTTAATGGTACAGCTAGAGACAACAATGGCATGTTATTAGCATATGTTCCCCACCCCTGACATAGAGGACGGGGATATCACCTCACATTTCTCAGCAGAACAAACCTGACAGACTAGCCACTCAGAAACAAACTCTGCTTGGCTTAAAACTACAACAATTTCTTACATTCCATTCAGCACTAGATACAGGACACTATTCTAGGCACCTGACACTGAGGCCTCAACCCCATGCAATTATACAGAAGAGGCACTGGGGCAGGGGCAGGCTAAGTAACTTCTCTAAGTGGCAGAGCCAGAATTTGACCCCAACAATCCAGAGCGCAGGCTCTAAACATTACGCTTTCATTGGATGACTCTTCCCCCATCATGCCAGGGTCCAACCCCAGCAGGTCCAGGGGTTCCCAAAGGTGTAGACGGAGTTGGCGAAGAAGGAATGACACGGAGACAGCGTTCAGTTGATCAGCAGCCTAGCCAGGATCTCCAGCCAAGTTCTGGTCTGGATCTCCAGAGAAGTTCTGCTGTTTATTGTCTTGTTACATCCATATTTATACCAGTTGATTTTAATCCTGTCAATTTCTATTCAAATATATTAAGAACAGTATGCCATATATGCCAGGTTCCTTGAAACAGCAAGGATGGACCGGGTCCCAGCACCATCACATGGGTTTGTCTTTGCGCACAACTGGCTCACTCAAAACTCTAAAGGAGAGAGAGAGTCAGTCACAGAACACGGCAATTTTTCTCCATTGAGAGGAGGAAACAGGGATGGCCATATTTATCCACAGAGCTGGTCTAAGTCCACACAGCAAAACAAATACTTGCCCAGCAGCACCAAGTGAGACCCACCTCCTTCTTACAGACCTGGTGGGGCTTCCTAGCTGACTGTGGGCTGGAGCCTCTGTGCAAGCTGTGGGAGCCCAGCCCTGGCATAGACTCTATGCCATAGAGGTAAGTGAAGTCACAGGATAGCTTCTAAGACCAAATGTCTGTGACAAGCCATCGCTTATTTCCGGCATGGAAATTCTAGAAGCTTCTAGAAAGATGGAAAGATACTATTTATTTAAGCAGCAATGGATCACAAATACAGAGTCAACGGGACATTGCATTATATCACAGTACATTTCCTTTAAATGCTGACATTGATATGCTTTACATTATCTCATAGAGTGAGCACAATCCACATTTTATTATATTAAGGAATTTATTTTTATAGAAAAGTCAAATGTCAGACCCTCATAAGATTACATTTGGGGAATTTACAAACAGCCTTGGGGAGTAGGAGGTGCTAAACAACTAACCCTGAGCCACTGTTGACACGTGGTTGTTCCTAAGGACTCATTCCACATGGCTCTCCCCACGTCCTATGTTCCAAATCTCTTGACCCTCTATTTCTCTTTTCTATTTGTTATTCTGTCCTTCCACTCCTTGTGCCCATTAACTCAATCTCACATCTCTCCATTCCTTTCTACCGTCTTCCCTCTCCCTCTGTCTCTCCACCCCACCATCAGCTCTAGTGTCTCCATTTGTGTGCTTCCTGTCCTACTCCTACCCCGACCATCCTGGTCTCTAGTTCCTCTTCCCTCTGCTTTTCCCACTGGCAGCCTGCTTCTGTGTCCCTGCTACATTCCCTTCGTTCACAACTAGACATTTTTGCTCCTCTTTCGTGGCATCACTCAAGGTGGTTTTGACAGAAAGTGAGCTCCTGCTGTGGGAATTCTTTTCATTTGAATGTTCCATCCTAATCGCCACATTGCTCATCTGAACACAGTTTGCCAGACTCTTCATTTTAGCCTCATTCAGGAAGAAGTCCCACTCCCAGGACCTGTTATGCTTTAGAGAGCTCATCTGCTCTTTGAAATTCTTCAGATCCTGCTTTATCGAGGGGGAGATTTTGAAGCAGAACGTAAGCTCCAAGTTGGAGGAGCTCTCTTTTTTCGATATGTCCAATAGAAACTGCATGCTGAGGGTCATCTCCTCCCCCGCCGCCTGCTCCCTGTCCCCCAGCAGCCTGTTCACCTCCCTGAGGGACTCTTCCCCCAGCTGGCTCTGGTCCTCTTTCACCAGGTAGGACATGGCGTGAAAAAACTCCTGGAAGCTGATGTGGCGGAAGCTGTAGAACTTCTTGATGTCAAGCCCCTCTTGGTAATCCTGGCTGCTCAGGAAAGCAGCCAGGCTGGGCCCATCTAAGCTGTGCTTCCTGAGGTCAGCTTCTTCAAACAGGAACCTCTGGTGCTGGATCCCCTCGGCTGCCAAGGAGCACAGACCCCTCAGGACCCTGTCTCGGGTGAGCTCGGAGGGATCCTCGTTGTCACTGGGTGGCAGGAAGGTGGAGACGTAGGCCATGAAGATGTCGGTGCCACTACTGGGAGTCTCCGAGACCTCCCCGCCTCTCTCCATCCGCCCCTTCAGCCAGGAGCAGACCACCCAGCAGATGCCTGGAACCAGACATGCTTGGTAGAGAACGTCATTTCCACGTATGAAGTCAAAGGCCTTCTGGGCTTGCTCCCCATCTGTGAAATAGGACTGGACATACTTCTCCCTCGATTCCTCAGAGAAGCCTTGGACATGAACATGGCGTGGTTGTCTGAGCAAGGACTGCAGGTTCCGCAGAGCCAGGGGCCGCGTGGTGATGAGCAGGGAGCACGTGGGCAGTACCTCTCTCCGGATGAGCCGGCGCAGCGTGTCCTGCGCGGGACTGGGCCCCGGCCTCTTCAGCCTCTTGGCAAAGGGCCTCTGCAGCTCGTCGTAACCGTCCAGGATGAACAGGAGCCGCTCCGGCTGCCTCCGGATCTCGGTGACGGGCGCCTTACTGTCCCCGCAGCACCAGAGGAGGAGCTGGTCCAGCGTGCCCTCCGGCAGCAGGACCACTTCTCTGCAGCTCACGTAAAAGACGTAATCAAACCGGTCTTTGTACAGCGTGCCAGTGGCCCAGTCCAGCACCATTTTTCTTGCCAGTGTTGTCTTGCCTGTGCCAGCGGGTCCCTGCAGCACCACTGTGGCTGGGCCTGGGGTGGGCATCTCTCCTGGGTCAAACAGAGCCTCCACCGTGACAGAGCCCTGCTCCTGCTCAGGCTCCGGGCTTCCCGAGCTGGCAATGGCCACCAGGAGCAGCTGGTTGTAGGTGCGGCTGACTCCCTCTTCTTGTCTCTCCTCCAGGCAGCGTATGTACTCTCGGTATGTTTCTCTGTAATCTGAGCCAGACACATGGTGCATTAGGTAGTGAGATGGGAGCAAAAAAAGACAAAATGGTCCTGCAAACTCTGGACACTGCTCTTTACGTTCACCTTCTATGCTCTCTAACTTGTATCTCCATGAAGGTTATACATCTGGCTTCGTGGGGAGGGACCACTGTACATATATAAGTACTAGAGGCCTGGTGCATGAAATTCGTGCACGTGGCGGTGGGGAGGTTCCTCAGCCTGGCCTGCAATGACGCCAGAGTCCCTCACCCCGGCCTCTGGCCCAAGGCCCCTCCTCTTCCTCTACACAGCTGGGGCACGGATGCTGGGCTCGGCCACTATGGGCACCGCCATCTTTGTCGCAGAGTGATGGTTAATTTACATAATACTTTTTTATTAGATAGGATGAGTGTGTGCATGCACACATGTGCATATTAATGTGTGTGGCATTCGCATGCACATCTGTGTAAATGTGCAACAAGTGTTTAGTGTGTGAATATGTGTGGGAAGTAGTGAACACTTGTATCCATACATGCTCATGGAAGCATGCTTATGGAAGTTTGTGTATTTTTGTGTAGAGAAGGCGTGTCAATGGGCATCAGCAAGTATGTGTTTGTAAGAATATGTGTACATGCAAAAGTCCGTGTGTATGTGAATGCATGTGCATTTGAAGTGATGAGAAGACAGGGAACAAAGGGAAGGGGAGCTGCAGGTTGGTGAAGCCACAGGAGGCTGTTCTATGTAAAGGTCGGTCAGTGGCTGCAGGTAAACCAGCTGCTGAGTAGGAGTGTGGCTCTGAGTCTCTGGAAACTCCCATGTCTGGGCACAGGTGCTCTCGGGCATGAAAGGAGCCTGTGGAGGGAGCACTGGCACCACAGACACTCCTTTGTCTCCAGGAGAAGGGACAGGAGGCCACTTGGGCTCCATGCCACACCACTCTCCAGGGCACTGTCGCCCACCAGTTCCCTGGAAGAGCCAGGCACAGGAGCAGGCTGTCCTCTCTGCTGCCTGCGGGAGAGCGGCCAGGGAGAGGACTGACCCACGTCCAGATGCCATTACTCTGGTTAGCAGGAAACCCTTCGCCAACACCTCCCCCAGTCTCCAAGCCCCTTTCTCCACTCTCTCCCCCTCTGGCACCACAACTGGAGATAGTGGCTATAAGATCCCTTAATCTTTCTATAAATAAACCCCACCCTCGGCTACCACCCTTTACCCCACAGTCATGAGTCTTTAGTTGGAGACCACTAGGGCCACTAGGACCCTCAGGCACAGGGGTTCCCACGCATCACAGGGCAAGAGTGAAAGAAGACCTAAGAAATGTTTTAGAAATGTCATGGGGGAGGGGGAGTCCAGTGCCACCCTGACCCCCCCTTGTGCTCTGCTGTACTCACCATTTAGACAGATGTGGCTGAGCTGGTCCACGAGTTCTAACAGGTTCATGACCTGCAGCACCTTGCACACCATTTTCACAGCCTCCTGCGCTCCGTACCTCAAAACCAGCCGAGAAGCCAGGTCCACCCGACTCAGGCCCTCCAGCTCCCCTCGGGCCAGCCCCTGGGCCCCAAGCAGGGTTCTGTCCCGTAAGTGGAACTTTAATATCTTGAAGTCATTTTCATCAAGCTCACTCAAGGCCAAAAGCAATGCCTCCTGTGGGTTGCTGGTCAGGGCCAGGGCCATGGTACTTGGTGTGAAGGGTCAAGTTCAGACCTGTGACCTGGAGAAGGGGGAGAGAAGAAAGGGGAATGCACTGCTGAGGGAAGAGCAGCCGAAGGCGCCTCAGTCTGCCCTGCTTTCTGGGTGCTCGGCAAGCCAAGGAGCACAGCCAGGGAGACAGAGAGGCATGCCAAATTCCAAGAAAGGCAGGGCGATTCCCTGCATGCCTCTTTGTCATTGTGTGGCAAGTAGAAGTAAGGTGTGGAGGTGTGTGGATCTCTATCTGTCTCTATCTCTCCCCTCCCTTCTCCCTCCCTCTCACACACAGTGTTTATCAGGCCCTGTATGCCTCCTTAGACAGTCAGGGTTAAGAAAACAATTTTATTTTTCTGCGACGGCAGAGATATGGCAAGAAGGTAAAAGATAAAAAACAAAAACAAAAAAACTATACTGTCCTAGCTGGTTTGGCTTAGTAGATAGAGCGTCAGCCTGCAGACTGAAGGGTCCCAGGTTCAAGTCCAGTCAGGGGCATATGCCCAGGTTTCAAGCTTGATTTTCAGTTGCGGGTGTGCAGGAGGCAACCAATCAATGATTCTCTCTCGTCATTGATGTTTCTATCTCTCTCTCCCTCTCCCTTCTTCTCTGAAATCAATTAAAAAATATTTTTTTAAAAAGTAAAAATTAAAAAACACACACAATCTATACTCATCAACCCATTGGCCTTACACATCAGCTTCATGGACTCAGTAACACAGGATTTCAAAGCAGGAAGTCGTATCATTCAGATAAGTAGACAAGTTTAAACCATGATATAAAAGAAATGGCCCCTGCCCTAACCAGTTTGGCTCAGTGGATAGAGCGTCAGCCTGCGGACTCAGGGTCCCAGGTTCGATTCTGGTCAAGGGCATGTACCTTGGTTGCGGGCACATCTCCAGTAGGAAGTGTGCAGGAGGCAGCTGATCGATGTTTCTCTCTCATCGATATTTCTAACTCTCTATCCCTCTCCCTTCTTCTCTATAAAAAAATCAATAAAATATATATTTTTAAAAAATGGCCGCTTTGCGGGCCCACTTTGTGCTGGATGATTAACATATATTATCCCTTTGACCATCATGTAAACTGTCTTGGGGATCCCTCCAGATGAGAAATTTTCAGAATTTTCTAGAGCTAGACCAGTGGGTATAGAGGCGGGATTTAAGTTCTGGTCCATGACCTGGGCAGATAGAGAAAGAGATGAACACAAAGGCACAGTAGACGGGCACAGAAACCAGGTAGTTAGGCTACCTGCTACCCGAACCTGGAGGGAGATGTAGAGATGAAAGCAGCGGAGAAAGGAGAGTGGGGCCCTGCGTTGTATTTGACACAGAGAACGAAAATGTGGGCAGGGTACCAGTCCTCAGAAGAAGAAAGCCAACAATCGATAGAAAACTTTCCGAGTTCAGAATTATGTCTGTGATCTAAAGCCAGTGGGGAAGCCATCTCAGTAGTAAAATGTCTGAGAGTGAGCAAAAGGTATTTGGAAACCAGGAAAGTGGTTTAGCTTCCAGTATCAGCATTTTGAGTACATACCAAAAGAAGAGAGAAAATTGTAGGAATCTGTTGCAGGGCAATTGGGAAAGGCAGGAGCGATTTGCAATTAAGCCTCAGGCTCCCCTGCAAATCTCTGCAGTGGGCAGCCCGGAAAGAACAAAAGACAGCGCCAGAGCCTGCCTGCATGTGCCCTCCAGGCTGTTCAGTGGCTGGAGGCTGGGAGGGCGGGAGGTGAGCCCGGACAGTGAGCTCCAAGCAGGGTCCTGGGAACTGACTGAAACAGATCCCCTTTCTCTATAAAAAGCTTCCCGCGGCAGCCCTGGTCCGCCCTGGTCCACGAGCCCAAGCTCACTGGTTCACTTCTGCCTGGTGAGGCTGGTGTTAAAGGGCTGGGCGTGAACACCCGGACACCTAGCCTATGAAACTCACCAGGCCCTGTGGGCTGGACCAGGGGAAGAAAGACAAACACTTGCACATCCGCCTGACCTCACCAGCAGAGAACTTGCCCTCATTCTTCAATATATTACAGTTGAGAAACAAGGCAGGGGCTGAAGAAAACTTCTGTCAGCAACAGAAAATGATGCCCCATCCCCCTTTGAACCCCAGCCCTCCTCTGTAATGTGGCTCCAGGCCAGGCTGGGGCTGTCTGACAGAGAAACAAAGGAATCGGGGTGCTGTCACCACCACCTCCTTGGTGGTGGCACCCTCTCTTTCAGTTGTTGAAACCACTGGATGACATGCTCACATCCACCAAAATGAAAAAGGCGGAAGCCTGGAGCTTCATGAAGCAGAAACCCAAACAAGGAGCAAAACCTGGGCCTGGAAGGCAGCTGGTCCGAGAGCCTGGCAGCTGATGGCCCAGGAAGCCCTGACCGAGCAGGATAGGTTCTGATAAATACTCTCCAAGGGGAGAAGGATGGACAGAGAGGTTTACTGGTGACACTGGCCTTCAAAAGCATCCCACTGAGGGGCTGTTAGAAGGCAGGAGAAAAGCTAACCACAAATACCAGGAGATTTACACGAAGGTGAAACAAGGGAACTACTAGCTCTAGGGAAAAAATAACAGAGGAAAAACAGAAAAGGAAGTCAGATTTTACATAATAGTAAATTACAACACTCAAGTGTAAATAACATTTGCATAGAAATAATAACATAGCCACTGAACACTGATCTAACTAATATAACCACACGATATACTATAACCACACTGGGAGGGTAATCATGTCTGGTGGTCCCTGTATTCTCCATAAAAGATGAGTAAGAGCATCCCCTAAGCATGAGCGGGCTAGGTAAGGAGGTGACTGCTGGCAGCCTCTCTTCCGTGCACATTTCCTCTCCCTCGGAGCTTCCCATGCCCATTGCTCGGGGAGTCCTCTCAGAGTCCGGGAGAACAGGTAGGAATAGGAGTTGGTCCCTCCCAGAGCCTTACCCAAGCTGAGGCTAGAGACAGAAACATTACAGCAAAGAGCCAAGCCCAAGAAACCAAGATGGGAAAATAGAGTGAAACAGCCTCATGGATCCTGTGACAGAAGAGAGGAGTGAGGACACTTACTGTGAAGGCTCTCTACTGTGAAGGCTCTCGCCTCCCCTTCAAGGCTCCAGGCCTGGAGATCACTGGTCTGGGGACTGAGACACACCTGAAGGACGTAGAAATGAGATGCAAAATGACCAATTTTAATTGGAGGGTGGAGGCAGGAAATGAAATGAGATCTCCCTCCCTGTTAACCCTGGCCTGGCTGTGGGCAGAACTGACAACTGGTACAGTTGAAGCCCCAAAAGGGATGGGATGGAGACAACAGAGTCAGAGACCAAGAGTGGAAACAGTCAGAAGAGAGACAAAGAGGCACAAGAGAAAAATGAGCAGAAGAAACAGAAAGTCAAAGCAGACAAAACAGAGAGAAAAACATAAAATTA